GATAGGGCCTTAGTACTTCCCTTGGAAAAGGCGCTACGCTCCTGCTCAGGGTCGCGGAATCCCGTCCTGCCTGGCGTATCAATCCTACATGCTCTTGGAGATATATCGTGCCAACTGCCTTTCATTCTGAGCGTATGTGTCAAATGTGTGGCGCTTCAAGAAAGGGATTGACCAACACCGGAAGCTCAGAGTTCTGGCTCCACAGGTGGGATAGTGGTTAGGGTGACATGTAAAAGCATACTATTGAGCAATGATGATGAAATTCTTTTGATTGGCAATGGCATCAGTTTCGTGCCGTGCGGAAGTTTGCGTTGAAGCTGAGGTAGTGACAGTGCGGGCAGCAGCAGCGGCTTCGCATGGTGGCTGTATCCCAAAGGCCCTGTTGATCTCAGACCTTCTGTTGCTCCGGGTATTATATAATATTTATCAGGGAAGGTAAAGCCACTGACTTGCACACTTGCTGATATCGACTAGCGTGAGGATAGAACGGCGTAGAGCAACGAGAATAGTAAAATGTCTGGCGTATCTTTTCTGATAAACTGAACTACCTAGTCCTCTGTGTAAAGGTCATGTCTATCCCTCCAGATAAGTTTGATGCCAATCAAGCGTGCGCGAAAAAGGGCAAAGGCTTAATTAGATTGGTTGGGCTAAGGTCCATGACATATGATAAGGTCCAGGTCCATTAATTTGGTTGGGTGAGGTGTACTGCATCTTGGGCGTAATAAGCGGCGTGTCTTGCTACTGCACCATCTCCGTCTTATGAGGCTCATAGATTACACGCGCTGTGGAATTATCTCCACAATTATGAGCGGAAATCGGGTACGTTCGTGTAGATAATTTCACAGCGCGTGTAATCTATGAAGCTTGTAAGACGGAGATGGTGCAGTAGCAAAAGGAGCCGCCTATTACGCCCAGGATCTAGGCTTAGTGCTTCATCTCTGTTTGATGCATGGGGTCCCTTCGATCAGTTCCCGCTGGCTTCCGGAGGCCAGTTAAAAGGCATCTTTCTTGCTGAAGTCAGTTGTAGAAACACATTTCTTAATGTTCAAAACTGCTATGGCTGACCTTGGCATGCACTGCATGTATTGTTTTTAAGTTGTCAAAGTTACACCATAACTCCCATTGAGACCACCAGGCGAAACCGTTACTATTCGCGAAAAAAAACCGTTGGTTCCAAGCATAAGGGGTGGTAATAATTCTCTTTTCTCTTCTCCCTTTTTTCTTCTCTCATGCGTGCTCTCCTTTTCACTGTTCTTTTCACTGCTTCACTTTTTTGGTCTTTTGAGGAAAATGACTCCTGTTTACGAATGATTTTGCTTTTTCTTTTTCGACTACATCATACGCCTAGAACATGCTTTTCAGGCAGCCGAACTGAAGACGGAACTTGTTCGTGTGCAGCAAACAGAAGAACAGTTGCGAGCGAAGACAAAACGAGCAGTGGCTCAGCTTCAGGTATTAATTTTTTTCATTCTAGAGTGATCCTCAAGTACAGAAAGACAATATTGGAGTGTTCAGGATGTTGAAGCCGAGCTGAACAAAGTTCGTTCTCGAAATGAGACACTGGAGAAGAAACAGCAAAGGTTACTTCATAATGGGAAAAGTGTGCGACAAAGATGCAATGGGCTTTTTACAGATTTGATGCCGATATTCGTGCAGTTGAAGAACAATTGAAAGAAGCCAAGGAAAGCAAAGAGAAGGCTGAGAAAGAAAGAGATGAATATCAGCTTGCAGCGTCAAGGAAAGGTGGCGAACTTCAGGTGAGAAATGGTTTTTGAATAGTTTGACTTTTCGGAAGAAATTAAGTGTTTGAAGACATAAATGTCAAATAAGGGCGAAAATATTTATTCGCCCTCACCGGTGACAGCTTGGTAGTCTTAGGTTCCTATCCTGCGCAGACTTCTATTTTCAATCCCTTGCTGGGGAGAACCTGCGTTTCGCCTTGTCCATTAACTAAGGTTCAGAGTTGAGGGTGAGGACGCCCCGGTCCACTCCACCATCGGGCAAGCATTCGAAGAAGCGAGGCTGTTGCGAGGGTGAGAATCAGAGACAGAGGATGTGAAAACACGAAGGCGATGCGATGATAAATATGGACCCATCCAGATATGGTGGGGTTCTTCACAGAAATGAACGCGCACAGATAGGCACAGGCACATCTTTTCATCAGGGTGAGGTTACTTCTAGAGGTGGCGTTTTTCAAGGGCGCAGCTCCCTCGATGCTGACGTGGAGCCGCGCAACCGCGAAAACCTCAGATCGCGGAGCGAACTATCTTTCCAAGGAAAAGATTCTATGAATTGTATTTTTTTGCTCGGGGCACACCTTACATTTGGGGAGCTGTTTTGCAAAATACGGCCGCTCGAAACTTCCTCCTCTGGTACGACTACCCCACTCCCTTCCCCATCTCTCCTCCATCCTATGCCGCAGTTTTTTTTTCAACAATTCTACACTTTTTCTTCAAAAAGTGCCTCCAAGCGGTAAGGGGGGGGGAGGTGTGGGTACATATGTAATTTACATGGGACAGGGAAAAACTTGGTGAAGTCAGCAACGGAAGCATCGGTCTCCAAAGTAAGTACGACCCCTCCTAGAAGCGACCAAATGCGACTTCCCTGCGGGCAACGTACTCGTTGCCTGTTATTGTGGAGTGTGCCCTCGAGAAAGATTTTGAACCCATGCCAATAACTCTTTTGAAAGATTTTCCGATCACAAAACAGTTTGTGGAAGATTCGAGACAAAAGAGCGAGACAGTCGTGGCAGAGACTTTCCCTATAAATTTCTAGCATTTTAATTTGTAACTGTACGCCTAGGAACTGAAAACGGAAAATTCCGAGCTGCGAACGACGGTGGCACGACTGAAGCGTGAAGCTGAAGAAAGAACAGATGCAGCTAGTGGAGGAGAACAGTTAGCAACTCTTCAGAAGGCCAAAAGAGAATTGGAAAACAAGCTACGTGAGCAGGTATGACTAGAGTTCTCCATAATTGTTAACTATTTACTGGTCTTTTTACATCAGCCTATGTTCCATATGAAGTTCTTTCGCGTTATTCTTTGATCTCTTAACTCACACCTTTAAGGAAGAAGAGTTGGACGATCTGGCCGGGACAAACCAACAGTTACAACAGCAAATAACTCGATTGGAGATGGGTGCCGAACGACTCAAGGCGGATTTGTCTCGTGAATCCACGACGAAGGAAA